GCCACCGAGGAGGAGGAGGAGGAGGCGGCGGAGAGCGGTGCGCGAGCAGGCGCCAAGTCGGCTAAGTTGTCGGGTACGCGACGACGCAGCTACCGCAACCACCAGTGGGGGGCTGGCTGGGATTGGGTGCCGGCGGAGGGATGGGAGAAGTTTTGCTGTCCGCGTGCGTGTGCGTATCTTTGTGTGTGCGCGTATGCGTCTGTCCTTGCGTGCCTGTCTGTGCTTGTGTGCGTGTGTCTGTGCTTGTGTGCGGTGAGCTCCTCCGGCGGGGAAGGCTGCGATGGCTGGGTCATGTAGCCCGCATGCCCAGCCACCGCATGCCGAAACAGCTTTTGTTCGGCCGGATCGACGGGGCTAAACGGGCGCGGCACGGGCTACAGAAGAGATGGAGTGATGTGGTACAGGAGGACGTGGAGCTGAGTGGACTTGCCGATGACTGGTACCAGCGGTGTCAAGATCGGCCTCTGTGGAGGAGGCTCGTGAAGGATGCTACTGGGCAGTTGGAGGCAGTCGCCCTCCAACAACAACGGAGGGCGGAGGAGCGACGCTCACAACAACGAGCGGAGCGCCGGGTGGCTAAAGCACAGCAGGTTGGCACAGTAGGGGGCACAGGTGGTGCATCAGCCAGTCATCTCAGTCATCTCAGTCAGTCGACCCGTGGCACCTGGGTCTGCCCCGTGACCTCCTGCCAGCGGGCGTTCGACACTCCACGTGGCCTCAAGGTGCACATGGCCTGGCACAAGCGTCGTGGTGACGTCACCGCCACTTAGTGGTGAATGGCGGTTGTTGTTGTGTGCGTGTGTCTGTGCTTGTGTGCGTGCGGTGCAGCTGACGGGGACCCGCACTTCGTGGTGGAGCTGCCACGCAGCGCCCTCACCGTGTGCTTCAACATCGACGGAGAGCCGGGCCACGTGCTGCGCCTGGTGGACGATCACGACCACTCCGGTATCCACTCCACCCACGCCCCTCCTCTCTGTCGCTCTGCCGGCCATTCAGTTAATCCGTCTTGTCTTTTGGACTGTCTACTGGTCGGTCAGTCTGTGTGCCTTTCACTTCGTCTTTTGGTCAGTCATAGTGTCTGTCTGCTGACTTGTCTCTCTGTCTATCTCCTCGTGTGATTGTATTTCTGCTCGTCGGTTGGTCAGCCATTCTGTCTTATGGTCAGTCGTTCAGTCTTTTAGTGCACTTTTGGGGGAACATGAATCCATTTCCATCAGCCACTTTCCGTTTGAGAAAAAATATCAAATGTCAACTAATCTTTCGCGAAATTTTGACCGACTTTTGACCGTAGCTCCCCACACGCGGCACGCATCTCTCCACCTGATCCACCCACCCCTCCCTCCCCGGCCCAGGCGTGACGGTGAACGGGCAGCTCGTGGGCTCTCCGGCTCCGCCGGGCTCCCGCAAGCGGCGCCGCACGTACTTCGGCACAGTGGCGCTGGTGTCGGAGCGCCCGCGCCGGGCCTACGTGCTGGTGACGCCGACGCGCGTCGTGCTGGACGGCGCCGAGCGGCTGGTGCTGCCGTGCGACCGCAGCGCGAGCGCGCGACGGGACGGGCTCACGGTCGCCGTGGTGGCCGGCACCAGCGTAACGGTGACGCTCCTCGGTGAGGACGGCGTCGTTCTCGATGCTGCTGCCAGTGCTGCTACAGGTGCTGCTGCTGCTGATGGTGGTGCTACTAGTGGTGCTGCAGGTGCTGCTGCTGCTGATGGTGGTGCTACTAGTGGTGCTACAGGGGCTGCTGATGGTGGTGCTACTAGTGGTGCTACAGGGGCTGCTGCTGATACTAATGGTGGTGCTACTAGTGGTGCTGCTGATACTAATAGTGGTGCTACAGGGTGCTGCTGCTGATACTAATGGTGCTGCTGATACTAATAGTGGTGCTACAGAGGCTATTGCTGATACTAATGGTGCTGCTACTAGTGGTGCTGCTGATACTAATAGTGGTGCTACAGGGTGCTGCTGCTGATACTAATGGTGCTGCTGCTAGTGCTGCTGCTGATACTAATGGTGCTGCTGCTGCTGATGCTAATGGTGCTGCTAGTGCTGCTACAGGTGCTGCTGATGCTAATGGTGGTGCTACTAGTGGTGCTACAGGTGCTGCTGCTGATACTAATAGTGCTGCTGCTAGTGCTGCTGATGATACTAATGGTGCTGCTACTAGTGGTGCTGCTGATACTAATGGTGCTGCTGGTGCTGCTACTGCTGTTACTTCCGGGCATTTCGAAGCAGACGGTTCCGGCCACACACCCTGCTTGTCCCCGACTAATCTTGGCAACAAGCTGCTGCCACTCCTCGCTCCCACCATGCCCAGGTGGGCGGGGGGGGGGGGTCCGTGCGTGACTTTTCCAAATGTGCCGCAGGTAACATCACGTTCGTCATTCAGCTGCACCGCTACAAGAGTCCGGCGTCCTTCCAGAGGGACCACCTGGGTGTCTACATCCTCTCTGGGGGGTCGCTGTCGCCCCACACGCACGGCCTGCTGGGTAGGTCACCTCGGGGTCACGCGGTTGCCGGGGGTGGGGTCGCTGTGCGGTGAGGGCGGTCGCCAGGGGTCAGCCGCTCTCCGTGTCTCGGAGCGGGGAACCAAACGTCGTTACCGCACGCCGCTCGCTTCTTCTTGCGCGTGATTAGACGATGAAAAAGGGGGGCAAAGGCGCAGCCCTGAAATTTCTCGCTCATGCCACTGCCGGCAGAAGGGCCCTGCACTCGTGGCAGCGCGGGAGAGCGCTCTCTCAAACGGCGATTGGCCCACTCTGGCCGGACGTCTTGGAAGAGCTGGGAGTTACCCACACTTTACCCCGCCGCATCGCGATCTACCGATCGCCCAACCGGGGTGGGGGATCGGTTAACAATGCTGGGGGGACCGAGGTGGTGGGTGGGCGGTGGGTGGGGTGGGGATTTGAGAAACTTGCCACCACTCTTTTAACTGCCATGCCGGGAGATCTAACTTCTTGCCTTGAGATAAAACTAAACTGAAATTCGCTGTTTGTGCACGACAGTGCACAAATCCGACCTGTTCACTCATCCGCCCGTACCCCTGTCCCCAGCGGGTCTGTTATGCGATGTCACGCTGTCGATTTCACCTTTTTTATTTCTGCGTTGGGTGTCTGGGCAGGACAATTCCTCCACGCTCGCGCCACGGTGGTGGTGGCGGAGACCCCGGCACCGGCAACGGCTGCAGCGACGGTGGTGGCGGGGGCCACCACAACAGCGGCCGGCACCGGCAAACGGGATGAAACAGAAGAGGAGGGAGAGAAGGCAGAGACGGAAGAGGAGAACCGGGAAGAACGCGCGGGAGCCACGGCTACGGCGCCGGGACTCTTGGTGAACGCCCCCCCGGCGGTCCCGGCCGACGGTGCGGCGTCGCCGGCGACGCTAAACATCGGCGGCCGGCGCCTGCCGGTGACGGCGAGGGTCCGCCGGACGCACGGCAGCGGGGGACCGCGCGACGTGGCCTGCTGGTTCGCGCGGAGCAACGCGCGCGGCCTCGTCGAGGGCTGCTACGCCGACTACGTCGCCCGCGACCTCTACGACTTCCGCTCCGGCGGCGACGGTGATTGTGGTGAAGGTTACGGTGAAGATTACGGTGAAGACGATGGGAATTTTGCCTGATGTAGGTTCTTTTAAATCTACATTGAAAACGTATTTCTTGAGAACTGCCTTTTGTGTTTAGTTTTGTTTTCCTTCCCCCACACCTCCGATTAGTATCGGTTTTATGTACGTATGTTGAACTGCTTTCCCACCATACGTAGCCAACTGTGCTAATTGGAGGTTGGCTAAAGTCCAGGGGTTGGGTGTTTCTTCAGTGGAGTTCATGACGGCCATGTTAAAGCACCGAGCTAACATTGCTGAAGGCCTGGGTTCAAGCCCAGGGCCTGGATTTCCAATACCAAGCAGGTGTATATTTTTGGAAGCATATTGTTAACCCTGTTTGTCAAATGGCTATATGAATGAAGATTGGTTAAATAAGGTAAAGGTTCAGCCCTGCAATCGGTCGCTCGTGCCACTGCTGGCGGAAGGGCCCTCTCCACTCGAGGGGGCTATAGACAGCCCCTCGAGAGGGCATTTTTAACCGATTATTCCACGTAGGCCAGTACATCTCGGAGAGAGGTGGGAGCTACCCACACTTTGCCCCACCACGACGTGACCTGCCGATCGACCGACTGGTCAAAACATACCTGTGCGAAAACAATGGGTGTGGGATGTGTTTTTGTTTGGAGATGAATGTAGATTTGGGTGCTCATGTGAGATTTAAATTCTATATTTGTAATTTGTGGGTTGTATTGTATTCTTTGCAAGGGAATATAAATGAATGGTACAAATACTCTGTGTTTACGTCTCTTTCTCACGCGCGCGCGCTCCTCCGTGGTGAATGTGTCGTTCGACACCAGCGCAGGCTGCTAGCAGCTCGCTCAGCGAACGTCACTTTGCCAACCGGAGCTGAAGTCCACGAGACACCCCGGGGCTCCTCTCAGCCGCCCCCGGGGCTCCTCCGAGCCGCCCCCGGGGCTCCTCCGAGCCGCCCCCGGGGCTCCTCCGAGCCGCCCCCGGGGCTCCTCCGAGCCGCCCCCGGGGCTCCTCCGAGCCGCCCCCGGGGCTCCTCCGAGCCGCCCCCGGGGCTCCTCCGAGCCGCCTCCGGGGCTCCTTGGAACTGCCCTGGGGGGTTGGGGTTTTGTGATCAGACCCTTGGAAACTAAAAAAAAGCCTTTGAAAATATTCCCGTGATGATGTCAGATTTTCCACTTTCTTAGCCAAATGAAAGCCAGGCCGCTCTGTTGTCTGTCCTCTGGCAGTTTAAAGATAAAGATCCCCCGTATAGCCTTAACATACTGTCGGGAAAAGTGCTGTTACCAAGCACCTTTCGAGGCTGACATGGCACCTGCGGGGGGGGGGGGGGGGGGGGGGTGGTGTGGATGTTTGCACTTCGCACCAAGTATTTGTGTAGGGGTCTTTGAAAGCTCACATCTCCGAAGGAAAACAAATCATACAAGGTTTGGGTTGCATCGTTTTCAACTTTTTTGTTGTTGACGACACTTTATTCCCGATTTACCGGTCACATTTCTCAAACGTAAGAACCACAAGCCCCGTTCTCCCCTCTACACACGTATTCTGTATTTACCTCCTACTTAGACGTTTCTACTTAAAAGTTCCTATCGGTTTCAACGACAGTACATGCAGGGCCCCACCGATACAAGCGTGGAATCTACCCAGCAATAATAATCTGTCAACACTAACCATCACCTACCACCATCATCATCAACATCACTAGCCTTGCTCTATCCACTCTTGCGTGGTCTCCCCAACACCGTTGAGGTACGATCTATCATCCCCCGCTGCGTGAAGGCCTCTATATTATCAACATCATGAGCCATGCTCGATCCACTGCTGGATGAAGGCGTTCACAAAAAACCGTTGCCATCCTTCCGTCTCCGTGGCGGTCATGCTCTATGGTGCGATCCCTCCTTTGGCTGGCGTTCCATCACCGGTCTCGCGCAACTAAACGCTACGGTTTCGTTTAAAAAAAAAATACACGCACACGGCATAAACTACAAATGCTACTTAAACATTTTTTAAGACGTAGCCATCCGTATATAATTTTACGAATTAAAACCGCAGTACAGTACAATAATCTAAAACTCGCATCGCACTAAAGACTAGCGCAGTGTTCTTCACTAATTTTCAGAGGGGGGGAGGGGGGTCACAGTCGCCGATCAGACATCATCGGTGTGAGGGCCGCCACACCATTTGAAACCATTTGGGGTTTGGCAGCACGATGGTGGTTGAGAGTCTTCTGGCTGTCAGGTGGAGGGCCTACTGGCTGCCAGGTGGAGGGCCTACTGGCTGTCAGGTGAAGGGCCTACTGGCTGTCAGGTCGAGGGCCTACTGGCTGTCAGGTCGAGGGCCTACTGGCTGTCAGGTCGAGGGTCTACTGGCTGTCAGGTGGAGGGCCTACTGGCTGTCACGTGGAGGGCCTACTGGCTGTCAGGTCGAGGGCCTACTGGCTGTCAGGTCGAGGGCCTACTGGCTGTCAGGTCGAGGGCCTACTGGCTGTCACGTGGAGGGCCTACTGGCTGCCAGGTGGAGGGCCTACTGGCTGTCAGGTCGAGGGCCTACTGGCTGTCAGGTCGAGGGTCTACTGGCTGTCAGGTCGAGGGCCTACTGGCTGTCAGGTCGAGGACCTACTGGCTGTCAGGTCGAGGGCCTACTGGCTGTCAGGTCGAGGGCCTACTGGCTGTCACGTGGAGGGCCTACTGGCTGCCAGGTGGAGGGCCTACTGGCTGTCACGTGGAGGGCCTACTGGCTGTCACGTGGAGGGCCTACTGGCTGCCAGGTGGAGGGCCTACTGGCTGTCAGGTGAAGGGTCTACTGGCTGTCAGGTCAAGGGCCTACTGGCTGTCGGGTGGAGGGCCTACTGGCTGTCAGGTCGAGGGTCTACTGGCTGTCAGGTCAAGGGCCTATTGGCTGTCAGGTCGAGGGCCTACTGGCTGTCGCTGCTGGATGGCGGCGGCGGTGTGAACACCGTCTCCTTGCCTGTGCGAGCTCCGCTGAACACGGACGGTGCGGCCATCCCAGCTTTCTCTGCAAAAAGACAACGGGAGCACAGACGCCCAGGGAAACAAAATCATTCGCCGCTCAGCTCGTGTGAGGGGGTCGTGTGGGACGTGTGGGGAGTTCTCCCTAAATGGGAACACCACTTACAATTACGCTGAATGCGCGGCGGCATTCACGTTACTCCGCGTCGTTGCTATAACGCGGTTCTGCCCCGAGGGAACACTTTTTGCACAACCGTTACGACCCAGAACAACGCGCCCCATTATAACGCGCCCCGTTATAATGCGCTTGCTTAGCGGTCGACGACGAACTACTATCTGGAGCTGCATGGTACGATATAGTAACAATATGGCGACGCGGTGGCGTGCCCTCAGCTATTTGTCCCGCCATCTCAGTGTGCGTGTGCGTATGTACATCGTATGTCGCCAAACTTTATCATTACATTATTTATGGAGAAATGTTTTCCCTTCAGGGTTTTTTTGCTTGACGCGGCACTGTTCAGGAACGCATTTAACACGTTAAACGAAGACTTACTGTGTGTGTGCACCTTTGGCGGACGGGCACGCGTGAACGGGCTCCTCAAGTCGCAGGCTGAGTCACCCTGGCGGGAGGCGCAGCCTCGCTTCGGATGTCGCTCATCGCTCAAGTTAGCCACGGGCCCGGAATAGAACTCGGGTCAGCAAGGTTCATAGCACACAATGTGTGAATCGCTGCCTCACCCCCATCCTCCCGTAAAGCGTTTTAGCCAGGTCCTCATCCATCAATGTCCTCTGATCTGGTTGATCTGGTTGTAAGATCGGCAGCTCACCAGCATTGATTCAAGCGAGCCTGACTGCTGCTGATGAGACACTTGAGGGTCGAAACTGGTCCTTGCCTACAAACACCAACATTGATTCAAGCGAGCCTGACTCTGCTGCTGCTGATGAGAGGTATTTCTTGTCTTGAATCAATGCTGTTGAATGATGCACTCCCAGAAGGCCGTAAGGCTTGTATGGGTTGTGCCAGAAATACTTTGTGATGTTTTTACTGTGGAGAGAGAGAGGTGTGTGAAGGAAACGTCTCGTGTGCCGATGTATTTTGGTTTTAAATAAAGATCGCTTATCTATCTTACGTATAACCGGGTGAAAAGCCTTTGAGACAAATTACCTCTCTTGCAAGGTAGGCCCGGGGTTCAAGGCAAAGACATTTTATAGCACAAATAACCCTGGGGGCAGAGCCACTAATGGAAAATAGAGGATGGCCCAAAAGTCAGAACACAGGGTTATATTTATTTTAACAAATCACATAGGATTATTACTTTTTTACAAATGTTCAAACTGTCTTCCATTAACTTTAATGGGTGATGCATTAATTATCTTGAAATGAATGTAGGACATTTTTAAGATTACAGGTGCAATCTTTGAACATTTGTCCAATTATTTATCGTCCCAATTCAGTCAATGCTCTTTCCATGCTTAAATGGCACCTGAAAAGGGAGGAGTAAAATAGGTAGTAACAATAATAGATGAGATAAAATATTAACTTAAAGAAGAAACTATTAACATGTTTTAATGCAAATGTTTAAATAAATACGTGTATGTTGAACTTATTTCGCATCGTACATAGCCAACCGTACAAATCGGAGATGCGGGGGAAGAACAACAAACTAAACACAAAAAGCAGTGCTAAAGAAATGAGTTTTCAATCTATATCAGCGGTTCTTAGCCTGGGGTGCATCTTGGGGTGAGAGATGCCCTTTCTGGGGGTGCCAGATGCCCCTTTCTGGAGGTGCGAGAGGCCCTCTCTGGGGGCGCGAGATGCCCTTTCTGGGGGTGCGAGATGCCCTCTCTGGGGGCGCAAGATGCCCTTTCTGGGGGTGCGAGATGCCCTCTCTGGGGGTGTGAGATGCCCTTTCTGGGGGTGCGAGATGCCCTTTCTGGGGGTGCGAGACATGGCCAGATTTTTTTAGAAGGTAAATCATCGAAACACAAACTAAGCACACATCTATGTATGTATTAACATGATACATGTTGTAACGATTGAGAACCAAAGGGGTGCAGGCTGCAGTGAAAGTTGGGATCCACTGATTTGTATAATAACCACGTGTGTGTGTGTCCTGACTTTTGGGCCACCCAGTATCATCTGGGGTCTGCATCGTAAATCTGCTGGGTGTCTCCATTCCGTCTCTGAACCAGTACCCGAGTCCTTATTGGGCCCTCTCTCTCTGTGGGTCCGAGGCCATATGTGGCTATTACTGTGGCCATGTGTCTTGTTTCCCCTCCTTCGTGTGTTTCCATGCCCATTATGGCGAAGGGTTTTGGGGGTTTTGTGTTTACACGGCATCCGTGGCATTTCCAGAGCCCCTTATAAAATGACATCGCAAGGGAGATGGCTTTTTTGAATGTTACGAGTCATTTTCAATAATAACAGCACACGGAACAAGCTTTTAGTCAAAATTCCACAGATAAAAATAAATAAATACTGTTTTTTTTTTTTTTTACTTTAAACGATAGCTGGGTAAAAATAAAATTTCGGAGGGATTTGATTGGTTGGCATATTTGGATGTTTTTAACGGGTGGGTAGGAGGTCAGATTGCTGAGCAGGCATCAACAAGATCCAGAGTTTGATCCAGGTTTGGGCTGCATGTGATGAAACCGGCTTCTCCACGTGATAAGCCACTTCAATGAGCTATCATTTGTGGCCAGGCCGCTTCTGAAAAAATAAGCAAATAGCTAAGTGGACCTTACCTGGTAAAATAAAAAATAGTTTAGTTTTATTTGAATGTTTTAGTGATTTGTTTACCTTTCCTATACAGAGCTATCCATATACTCACATAGAGACCCACAGACTTACATAGAAATCCATACGCTCACATAGAGACCCAACGACTTGCATAGAGACCTTTAAACTCGCATAGACAGAGTTGTAACGAAGCCCGGTTCTCAAGTGTTGCGAGTTTGATGGTCTAAGCCCAGTCACCAACCACTCACATAAAGACCCATAGACTCACATAGAGACCTATTAAACTACATAGAGACCTGTACACTCACAGAGACGAAGTACGTCATGAGTGATCGGGCTGAGACCATCGACATTTGAGGACCCGGTTTAATCAATATGGTTGCGGCTGAAACTCAGATCCGAGCCCTAGGTTCTCCCAGCAGAGCCAGCTCAGTGCTTGGACTTCTGAACTACACGGCAGCCGACCTCTACCACGCAGCATCTGCAAAGCAGTGAGGGCGTGCATCGTCTTCGATGGTCGACATCGCGAGACCATGCGACTCCGATAGTCTTTCCTCCATGCGCTGGCTCCCTGGACAGTAACGGAATCGACTTCAGGATTCCCACTTTTAAGGCCTTGCGTGAACTGGCTCCTAAATATCTCACTGATCTGCTTGAGTTTAATATTCCCCTGCGAAAATTTGTATCTGCTGATTCTGATCGACTCATTGTGATTTCCAAAGACCAGCCTTTGTTGCACGGAAGGAAGTTTTTTGTTCGCAGCCAGACTCCACGACTGTGGAGTTTCCTTCCCTCCTCGGTCCATTTGAGAATCTTGAGTCTGTTACACTTTTTAAATCTCGCCTTAAAAATCACCTCTTCGTACACAGGCGTTCTCCCCCACTTAACTTGAGCTTTGTGTAAAGTGTACTTTGAGGCTTTGTGCGAATTGCGCTCGAGAAAACGGAGTGTATTATTGTTGCGAGTGAGACACAGGGAGAGGGACAGAGAGACAGGACTACGTGGATGACATGGGCCACAGCTGTCTCTCTGTCTGCCCACAATCACAGCTGCAGCTGTATTCAGACCCAAAATAACCGCTCTATGTTTGGGGTTGGTGGGGCTGGGGTGCAGCGGTGGTTTGACCCAGTGGCACCTGTTCACTGAATGAGTTATCGCAGCCTTGAACATGATAACACGTTTGTATTCACGACGCGAATAGCGCCATTTGACTGGAACTTGGCTTTTTACAATAATTAAAGAAAAGAACGATTTTGCCAAAAAAATGCTCCCCAAAAGCCAAACGGAGGGAACCCGCCTGAGAAGACGCCCACCAGGTAGGAGATGGAGCGATGAAATCAACTCGTATTCCGGGAGCCTTCATCGCCACTCAATATTGACACCGTGCCTCCCACGCAGCAGTTACATCATCCCGAGGCATCCCTGCCGCAGGGGGTACCTCCGGTGGCAGCTGTCTCTGTTCGGCACAAGGCGAACGCACCAGCGGGGGGGGGGGGGGCGATGGTGATGTTGCTTTGTGGCTTCCACCCCCCCCCCCCCCGATCAATTAGTCATTTGTGAGTACTGTACTGTAATTGATAACATTTGGGAAATTTTCTACCGTGACGCCGGCACGCATGGCAGCGCATGCCGGGGATCTTTAACGTCCGCTGTGAAGCAGACGGCGCATGGCAGTCGCAAAAGTTTCGGTGAACAACGATCGACGCAGTGTTAACCCGGGCGGCCGCGGGGGGCGGGGGTGTCTCGAACCGCAATCCTCTGCAAACAAACGAACGGGCGAACGCCGCTGCCTGCTCGGCACGGAGTCACCGTCAAACGCGCCGGTGAGACCATCGGAAGAGTAACCTCATCAAGCAGCGGGCGGATCACGACCAATGACGACGCCGATGGCGGCAATGCCGACGCGAAGTCGTCGTTCCCCCCACTCACCGCACTCGGCCATCACTCGGTAGGTCATCTGCCGAGGCTCCGCGTTCTTTCCGAGGCGATTCCTCGCCCCCTTGAGGTCCTCCTCCTTCACCACGGGTCTCTTCTTCTTCTTCACCACCACCGAGGGTTCCTGCAGGGCGAGGTGTGGGTAAAGGTGCGGCCCTGCAAGTGTGTGCTCACGCCAGAGGCAGATCTGGAACGTTTTGCAAAGGGCGCTCCTGGAATGTTTAAACTTTTTTTATATATATAGGGCCTAACATTAATAATACTTAATAACAATAAAAAATACCCCATCAATGTATTTGCTCTGGTGGATATTTTTTTTCACGTAATTTCTTATTTCAACATTGTTATAATTAAGTTTGTGTTTTAAAATCTGTAATTGCGGAATGCATTTGATGTTAACTGCCGGCCGAGTGGCCCTTGCAGAAGAGCTTCTTAGCTCACCGGGCTTTACTCGATGGGAAAAACACTCCTGATTCATTCAGAGCAAAGTGTCGGTTGTATCAAATACAAATATCGATCGGCAAACGACTAAATTAATATATAATGGCCTCCACCAGAGGCAGCTATAAGAGAGTCGCCTTTATTTCGAGGGTGGTATTCTCTGGCTTGGCCTCCTCTTAATGTGTTGGCCAGAAACTCTTGGAAGAGGTGGGAGTCGCGACACTTCTTAACCCCACTGCACGCGACCTCCCGATGGGACTTGTTGTTGTTCCCATTCAAACTGCACTTCATCATTACACTTTCAGCATCATCGTCATTAAATTCCCATAAACTATTTGAACAACAATAGTTTATATCGTGCCGATATATTGACATCGCAGTTAAGCATTACATATTCACATCACAAGAAGCGCATGCTCATGAGTTTCATATTACAACAGCAGACATTTGACGGTGACGTCACCGCATCACTTGTGCCAGGCTGGGTGCATTTATACAAAGATGCCCCCGTGTAGCCTTCACAGACTGTTAGGGCAAGTGCTGTTAGCGAGCACCTACGAAGACCGGAACGGCACACGAAGGGCTGGGTGGTCAGCACCACGCCCAGCCGCCTTTGTCTCCCTAGAGGCAATGTTTTTTTCACACCACACCACAAACTCGTTTGAGGCTGAGTCGACCTAGGGGAGACCCAGGACCAGTTCATATAATCACGATCACTGATGTTGGCCGTGAGCGGGAATCCAACTGTGGTGGTTGGGTTCCGCTGCGCCACCGCTCACACACCACACCACTGCGTCTCGGCACCACACGAATCAAACACGCACGGTGCCACTCTGTCACTCTCTGTCTCTCTCACTCTACCTGCTGCATGGTTCCTCTCTCCTCTTCTTCTCTTCTTCAACCGAGGACGGCGGACACTGCTGGATGAGACAGCTCTCTCTCAACTCTCTGCTGCTGCTGGGGTCTCCGCTCAAGATGTAGCCGAGGTAAGGGGACCCCAGCCACTGGCTTTTTATTGTTTACAGAGAGAGGCTAAACTTAGCGGCTGACTGAGACCGACGAAAATGGACTGATTATCACCATAACCCTCCCCACCCCGTCCCGCAGACTAATCCATCTCGCCTGGCTATTTATAGCCATTGCCGGAGCGATGTGGGCAGCGGGAGGATGGTGTTGGTGGTGGTGTTGGCTGATGTTATTCATTAATTATCAGTAGGATTCCCCCCTATCCCCGTGTGCTTCACCACCAACTTCTCGTGGCCCAACCGCGGTGTGTCTTACCACGTTCGCCAAACTGCTGCGCTCATGAATATATTAATATATCGCGTACGTGATTACACGCTGCCCAAGCCCGATGATTGGTAAACAGCCCCGTAACTTGGCGATCGTTAAACTTTTCTTGTGTTTGGGCGCGTGTCCCATTGGGGTCCCACCCGAGTTCCATTCTCGCTCACGGTCAACATCGGTGATGCATATCTGAGCCGGTGCTGGGCCTCCCCTAGGTCTACTCAGCCTCGAATGAGCAAATGGTACGGTGTGTAAACAACGCCACTGGGGAGACAAAGGCGGCCGGGCGGGCGTGGTGGTGGCCACCCACCCCCTCGTGAGCCGTTACGGCCTTCATAGGTGCTCGCTAACAGCACTTGCCCCAAACGGTATGTTAAGGCTATACGGGGGATCTTTGTCTTCGTAGTAACAAAGCGCCGAGACTGACTTTGAATCGCAGCTGTATATGCCACGTGGAACAGAAATAAAGACAGAGATCCCCCGTGTAGTCTTTCACAGACTGTTGGGGCAAGTGCTGTTAGCGAGCACCTATTAGGGTCGGCCAGCACCACGCCCGCCCGCCTTTGTCTCCTCAGTGCTAATGTTTGATACGCACCGCAGGGAATACATTATTCTTTGGGTCTTTCGGTAAAGTAACGTAGATAGGTTCACATCAGGATGACCGCTTGTGTTGCGATCAAAACGTCCTAATTTTTGTTATTTTCTGTAAACCTATCTACGTGACTTTACCGAAATACCCAAAGAATAGGAATTCTTCCCGTCACGAAAGCTTTAAGTCAAGGGAATATATTATTCACCGTCCATTGATGTTTGTGAAATGTTCGATTTAACCTGTGACGCAGTTGTTTTCCCCGAGATTTCTATTCCTGCACTTTATTGAATTTATTTTCCGTCTGCTAATTTAGTGATCCAAATGTCTCTCAGCGAATGGAGACTCATCCGCGAACATTGGCGACCATAAACACTCATCATCGTCAGGATCACTCATCATCACGTATCATCCCACAGGCAGCTGCACCAACAGTGGCAGCAATAGGTGAGGACAAGAGCTTAGATCTCCTGACCTCTGGACCCAACCCGACTTGCCCACACACACACGGGAAACTTTGATCAGTGGCCCAGTCGGTGATGGACATGAGCTCAGTCGGTGCAAGAATGCAGACAAAGACCAAGATCACCCGTAAAGTCTTGAACAGGCTGTTGAGGCAAGTGCTGTTAGCAAGGGCCAATGAAAGCCGACATCGCACCTGGTTTTCGTTTAAGTCTCAGTCGACCTCGGGGAGGCCCAGTAACGGTTTAAGTATTCGCCACTGTTATTGGTCGTGAGTGGGCATCGAACTCGGTCGGGTTCAATGGTCAAATAACCCTCATGACCGGTACGGTGTGGAGGGAAATCATCTAACAGTGGATTGAAAAAAGGGCTGTAACAACAGACCATGGGGCATATCCTGGCCTGGTCGGCTCCTGCAGGAGCCATGCACCATGGAAGGTCTTGTCAGAGCGAGACTGGGCCACATCGTCATGTGCCATGGTCTATTCACTGCTGGCCTTATGTGCACAATACTGGATAATCATCGGACTGTGGTGGCAAGACAATTAAATAGCGCCACCTGCAGGCTTCATACCTTGCGGCTGAAGAAGACGTGTGCGTGGTGTAAATTAAGTTCGCAAACAATAATTATTCCATTATCAAATGTTTCAAATTGTGTTGCGTTGCCTTTATTTTTCAATACATTCCCAACGATGTCATTGTAAAAAAATAAATAGTAAAAAAAAAACGTCTTAACAGTGCCCACCTTCAATGACCCAGACCACACTTGGACACGAGACTCACCCTTGGTCTCAGGTTCTCACCTGGTTATAAACAAAATAAACTTCACTGAAACGGTGGTCAACTTGGAATTTTGTGGGAGTGAAACCATTTAAAAATAACGTTTACAACGGTGGTAAATCCCAGAGCTGCGCAGTCCTCTTTTATTTGCTTTTTCATGTGAACATTTTTTTTTATAAAAAAACAAGCTTTCAACAGAGACACTCGCTCCACAACGAATGAAAATAAAACAAAAACGATCGCCCATCTCGATGTGATGACGTCGATGGCTGGAATTCCGTGGCATTAGGCACGACTTTAGCATTTCCAGCCACAGACCAGGAAAACTTGTTGCCGATGCATAGCGCTGGTGTTGCCACCACCATGACCATTCCCTGTCCTCAGCTGCCCTCGTCAGCCCACACGCAGGGGCGGCGCCACCAGAATGACCCCGTCGCCTCGCACGAACAGCATCGGGATGTTCCGCTTGGTGGACTGCGAGGGTAAACGCGACAGAACGTGGTGAGCGAACGGACACGATCCCCCATCCCACCCGGGGTCAGAATGATACAGGGATCAAATTACGAAGTCACACCGGTGCCGCCAATGCTAGGGCACTGCACTGTCGCGTCTCTACCTTGTAAATCTCCTCGTAGGTCTCTTCGTCTATCTCCACGGTCGTCACCGTCTCCTCCACGTCACCCAGGATCATGTTCAAGTGCTGGTCGTAGGCCTGGGAGGCAAGAGCGCACAAAAACGGCTTGCCATTAAGAGTTTACTACTCCACTTCTACATCATGATTGACTCTGAGGAGGACACTCTCGCTCTCCCCAAGGAAAAGCATGTGACCAAACGGCCGTGAATGTTACCGATCTTGTCAGGTATAAGACAAGCAGGCCTGACACAGGTTCGGATCTGAATGGATGACCACCGGAGGCATGCCCGGTGTTGTAAGGCTGTGAGGTTGGCTGGGGATGACAGTACAGCAATGAGCTCAGCCCGCAAAAAAACATTTCAGAATAATTTATTTATACTGGAGGAATACGATGAGCGAGCTATTAAGCTCTTTTTCATAGATGTCCAGTAGCATTTACTGAGCCTATCAGGGGAATATATTTAACTGAGCTTTAAGTAATAATAGGGTTTTTCCCCTTTTTTCTGGCAACAAAACTGAAACCTTTTTACAAGGATTCATGTCTGCATTAACCACAATACCTGCAGTCAAAATGCAAACAAAAAAATACTATAATATATGCATTGTCCTTGAAACTGATTGGTCCACACCAAGGGACGGCTTTCTTTTGAGCCTCGACCCAATTGGTGCTTGACCAGTATGCCTTTTGGCGTCATCTGGTCAAGCACCAATTGGGTCGAGGCTCAAAAGAAAGCCGTCCGTTGGTGTGGACCAATCAGTTTCAAGGACAATGCATATAATATAGTATTTTTTTGTTTGCATTTTGACTACAGGTATAGTGGTTAATACAGACATGAATCCTTGTAAAAAGGTTTGTTTTGTTGCCAGAAAAAAGGGGAAAAACCTTATTATATTTTGGTACTGGCAAAGGAGGTCTAATGATGAGCTTTAAGTGTTATGCTCTCATATCCGTGGGTTTCCTCATTGAGGGATGTTGACACGGCCCAGAGGTGGCACTACGCCGCTTGTTTCAGAGGTTCGCCGCTTCAATCTGGCAGGCGGCTCTAGTTAATACTGAGGGGTATATTAACCAAACAATACTCCGCATCTTCTGCATATTAACTATAAATATTCCGCATTTTCTGCTTCAAAGCAGCCGTGAGAGATCCCGTGACGCCACTGGCATCATTGTGCAAATATGAAAAACCTCGCAAATAACCTAATTGGGAAACAACAATAATCATTGCTCCCTCCTGCGAAAATGTTTAAGAGACCCTCCTGAAAAAGTCTTGAGACTTCAGTGCGGCTCTCCTAAAGTGTTAATAATTTACAATTACGAGCAGCCCTGTGAGAACGCGGCGAGAAACAGGCGCGAGGCCGGGCGTGGACCCTTTGTGGGGAACGAATGAGTCGACGCACGTGGAGGCGGCCGCGCAGCTCCCGCTCGTTGCGCATCTTCACGTAGATTCGCTCGTCCAGACTCAGGCGGATGAGATCCAGAGGCTCCTCCACCGTGTTTCCCGTTTGGGGCTGTGGGGATGCGGGGGCAGGGGTCACGCGCTTTGTTACTACATGGGCCACCGGTGGCGCTCAGGGCTCTCTCTCCGCTCTGCTGTACCGTCTCTCCCACCTGCACTCTCCCCTGCTTCTTTGCTACGGTATGTTGTTGCATATTTTATTCAACCAGGAGAAGAAATAAACCCAGACACATAAAAATTGCCTCGATTGCACAGGCGAACTGGGTTATTACATCTGTACTCTTCCCCCTCTGGTATACGATGTCCTTATCTCTCCCACCGGCTCGCTCTCCAATGCTCTCTGCCTCTCTCTCCGGTCTGCTTTGTAGGTCTGTCGGCTGGGTTGCAGGCGTGGGGCTGCAGTGAGGTGTGAACCAGGAGATGGAAGTTCCGAGTGTCACCCCCTCGTGTGTTACAAAGCAGCGCCGAGCCGGGGTTCAATCACGGGCTTCCCCGGTTCCCCCCCACCCCCACAACACGGAGCCGGTCGCGTGTGTCCCGCGTGCAGGGCCATCCGTAGGGTGCGGGGTCCCGGGCAGATCGCACTGTGGGCGCCCCAAAGCGCGGGGCCCGGGCCAGTCGCCCCGATTCGCTGTATTCTAGGGACGGCTCTGCCCGCGTGCGTTAGGTTCCCCGTCGCTGCTCTCCGGCCCTGTGCTCTCTCCCCACCGCACGCTCCTTCACTCTCTCTGCCTCTCTCTCTCTGCCTCTCCCTCGCTCCGTTTCCCGCCGCTCCGCTCTGAGTGCCGCTTTCCGCTCACCGCCTCCACGTCGTCCGCCATCTTCCCGCCAAGCCACGTGACCGCGGCGTGACGCCCTTTGACCCACGACCCGGCGTCGCCCCCTCCCTGTAGACTCCGCCTCCTTTTTAATGGCCCGCCCCCTTCCGTATGACCACGCCCCCCGTGCCTGGCCCCCCTTGAGCCCCACCCCGAAGCCCCGCCCCCACGTCGCGTGGCCGCGCTCCCACAGCCCCGCGACCACGTGACCATGGCGAAGAGAAAGGCGGACAGTGGCACGCGTGGTGAGGCAGTAGCATCATCATCATTACTAACATTACTTACATTATTATTACTAACATTATTACTAACATCATCATCATTACTAACACCAACATCATTGCTAACATCACTACTCACATTACCACCATAATCCCATCGCTGACATCCGGACTATCAGCAGCACCACCCCATAGGGAGGCGGGGGGGGGTAACATATTTACAGTTGGCGACGTTCCGGGCAATGGCCCTTCTTAATGGCACAGGGAGATGGAGTGGATAAGAGTGAGGAGACTGCACTCTACACCACTGCCTCTCTGACCTCTCTGTCAGTTGTGAAGAAGGCCCATTAGCCGAAACGTCGCCTATGTTTTTATTTTTATCCTTTTAAGGTCGCAATGTTATTTAGGAACGTCTTCATATTTGTGCTTGTGCACCTCTTTGCCTACGCAGCACCACCACCACCACCAAATCGCTGTTTCATCAACACAACATGATCATTCCTCACATCATCACCACCACCACCATGGCGATAAAACATCGCGGTCGTCTCTCTTGGTCATGTCTGGTGAATGAACGACGTCTGGTGAATGAACGACGTCTGGTGGATGAACGACGTCTGGTGGATGAACGACGTCTGGTGAATGAACGACGTCTGGTGATTGAACGACGTCTGGTGGATGAACGACGTCGTTGCATTTATTTGGAGGAATCTCTGCACAGCATTGAGGCTTTGTGATGTAACGCGCACTCGGCGCCACCCAGCGAGTGATGACACGGGAGTGCTCGTGGTTTAAACTACACACTACTTAATATACTACACTACTCAATACACTACACACACAATACACTACACTACTTAATAAATAACACACAATACACTACACTACTTAATACACTACACACACAATACACTACACTACTTAATACACTACACACACAATACACTACACTACTTTATACACTACACTACTTAATACACTACACTACTTAATACACCACTACTTAATACACTACACTACTTAATACACTACACACACAATACACTACACTACTTAATACACTACACACACTACACTACTTAATACACTACACTACTTAATACACTACACACACAATACACTACACTACTTAATACACTACACACACAATACACTACACACACAATACACTACACTACTTAATACACTACACTACTTAATACACTACACACACAATACACTACACTACATTTAATTCGTGCTGTGTACTACGTGCGAAGAAGCGCGTGCATTTATCTTAGAAAGTTCTGCATAACGCAAACCTGTCAACCCGTACGGTTTATTGCCCCGTATTCTTGTACAGGGACATTGAGTTTTCAGGTCCATACGGCGTACAGCCGCTTCAATACGGGCAAAACAATGTTTGTGTCTATTTGTTTGTGTTTCTCCCTTGCGATGGCACTTTGTAGGATGCACGTTGAGATTTATAAGGGCACGGGGTGACCAATAAGGTCTGAATTGGGTCTTTAATCAGGTAGGGCACTGATAAGGGGTTGACAGGTGTGATAACACAAGCTCAACACATTCACCAATACCACCGTGGTCCCCTATAAGTAAATTTCCATATGCGACGTTTCAGGCAATGGCCCTTGTTCAGAGCACAATGAAATTGCACATCATTTGATGCACTAGAAAGTAGGACCATTGCCCGAAACGTCGCCTATTGTTGCATGTGATGTACCTCGCGCTTGCCCAGTCAACAAGAAACATTGGTTCCAATGTTCAGTGTTGGCCTAACCATTCCAACCACATGCCAACGTTACATGTTTACTAGGCAGTGGCATCCTGCGTGGTTATGAAACAGGAAGGGCTCGGTTTTATAATTGTATTTACTACTTGGGAAGAGCGTGGCATGTTAGGAAGAATATCGTGTAACGCGTGAAATGTATACGTAATGTGCAACTTTGTGTGTGCAAAGTGTCTTATATAGTGCATGTAATGCGTGTTCAATGTGTGTCATGTATGTATTATGTGTGTAATGACCGTGTAACAGCATGTGTAGGTAACATATATGAAGTATATGCTATGTATGTGTGTGTATATAATGTGTAATTATGCGTGTAATGCCTGTATAATGTATTTTGGTTATGTATGTATAGTGTGCGCATGTAGTTTATGTTCATAACGTGTTTGCAATGTGCGTGTGTGTCAAGTGTATGTAATGTGTATGTGTGTATTATGTGCATATCATGTATGTTGTGTGTATAAACTGTGTATTATGTAACATTATACTGTGTGTGTGTACTGTGTGTTATGTCTGCGCAACTGAATGTGTTTACAATGGACGTGCAGGCAGCAGGGCCCGCGGCTGCAACAATGCTGACGGTCCCGCGCAGGAGCGGGCGAGCAAGAGGATCTCGCGCAAAGCGAGGGGCCGACGCGGCGGAGCGCGAGGGGGCCGCGTTGAGCCCGCCGATAATGGAGAGGCCCGAGACTCGGTGGCGACCACGAGCCAACGGGGAGCAGCGGAGGGCGGCCCGGCGACCAAGGGCGAGGCGTGCGGCGCGTCGAAGGAGAGGGCAGCCTCTCGGGACGAGGGGCAGCGCGAGCCGGCAAGGGCCGTCGAACGCGTGACGGCAGAGGGCTCGGGCAGGTGAGGCGTTGGTCACGCTGCAGTCGCACACGTGAGTTCCGTGATAAAGACAAAGGTCCCCCAATGGTAGCACGGATCTCGGACTGTTTTTAAAATAATTTTTTTATTTTGGTAACCGCATAAGCCCAGTACAACGCGTTGATGGCTTTTGGGGAAGAGGGACGGAAACTGCTGGTGGGGGGGGGGGGTGGGATTTTCGGCGCTTGACGGTGTATAGGTGGAAGGAGGAATGGTCAGTCCCCACCCTGAGGGAGTCTTCCGTCGAGTGGGGGAGTGGGAGCTTTTATATATGGGGGGGGGTGGGGGGGAAGAGCGAGGGAGAAGAGTAACCAGCATTCAATGGACGTGCAGAGTAGGGTGGAAAAGAAACACGCACTATAAGTCATGTAACATACACGTGGCTTTATGTGTTCAAGTAACAACCTCTCCTCTACGGTTCTCGGGCTGTTATTTTCTGGCGAACCACATTAGAAAAAAATTTGCATGCGCTGGCGAGCCGCGTGACATCTTCGTCACAGGGTCGCGTGGCATCGTGACGTCGCAACGTCTGACCACGCGATCGTTTATCTCCGTCTCTTGTCCGGGGCTCCACGTCTCCATCCCTTGTTTGTCACTCATGTCGTGATGCGGCGACCCCGTGCGTTTGTTGCGAAGGAAAAGAGCCGCGAGTGAGAGCGACAGCGAGGAGAATGACCTGGAAGGAAAGTCCGACGAAGAGGACTCCTCGTCCGACTCGGAGAGTGAAGGAGAGTGGCAGGAAGTGGACGGTAGGGTAACTTCCATTTGTCTGTGCATAGCATCAGTGGTGAGTGTGTGTGTGTGTGCTAAATGATCTCTGCCTAAGTGATATGTATGTGCCTAGTGGAAGCAATGTGTGTGTGTGCTACTTGCCCAATTCGATATAGGCGTATGAGTGGCTCTGTGGCACTGCAAGTGCAACAGGTTAAAGCAGAGTTCATATTCGTGACAGCAGTCATCGTAACAGCATGCATTTTAACGGCAAGCATCCTCACAGCAATAATCGTAACGGCATGCATCGTAATGGCATGCATCGTAACAGCAATAATTGTAATGGCAATCATCGTAATGGCATGCATCGTAGCAGCATTCATCATATCAGCAAGAGTCATGACGGTGATCGTTTCAGCAATCATCCTAATAACAATCGTCGTAATGGAAATCATCGTAAGCATCATATCAGCGAGCGTCTAAAACATCAAACACACGCACACAGGCGCTCACCGCCCACTGCTAAGCGCCACCTTTGTGGCTGCGCCGTCTTCCTCCAGAGCTTCCGGCAGAAGAAGAGGTGGGCGCCACAAGCTCAGCAGCCGGCATCGTGAGCATCGGGCAGGCCGTGCAGATTGAGATAGAGACACCGGAGATGGCAAAACTGCGTGCGCGCAAGTAAGAGAGCGCCTACAACACACAGTCAAAGATTCCCCTTGTAGCCTACACAGGCTTTTGGGGAAAGTGCTGTTAGTGAGCACCTATGAAGGCCAACATGACGCATGAGTGGGTGGGTGGTCAGCACCATGCCCGGTTGCCTTTGTTCTCCAGTGCTATATGTATACACACCACATTGGGTTGTGATTTAAGGCTGAACTCGATCTAGGGGAGGCCCAGGACCGTTTTAGATATTCATCACCGATGTTGGCCGTCTGCGGGATTCGAACTCTGGCCTCTGGGTTCCCAGCGCAGTGCACCAACCACTGCGTCACCCCTCCCCTTGCTGCAGCACAAAGACAAAGATCCTCCGTATAGCCTTAACAGACCGTCGGGGCAAGTGCTGTTAGCGAGGGCCATTTGAAGGCCGGCACGGCACACCAAGGGGTGACACTGTGATCATCACCAAGCCGTTCATCTTAATCTCCCCAGTTCTGATGTTTTACACTTTGCGCCACCATGTGTCCGTGTCTGCTTCCGACCAGAGAGAAGCGCAAAAAGCTGTTTGAGGGCTGGGTGCGCCGCATGGCGAATCGCTACAAGAAGGAAGTGCAGCTCGACTTGCACAAGGTGCGCCGCTGCACCCCCACCTCGACACGTGTGTGTGTGTGAGACTCCTCCAACTCCGGCGTAGGTTCACGTGATCGTGTTGTGTCGCCCGCCCAAGTGTTTTTGGGCTGTACCACGTGTCGTTCGAAACGATGTCCTGCGAATTCACTCCCGACCGTCGGGAGCTTGCTCAGGAACCGAATCGGTTCCTCAGTTACGCGTTCCTTCAGTCGGTGAAGGAGCTGCAG